TCCCCGTGGGGCCGCGGGACGTTTGCCTTTCCCCCTCGCAACCCCGAGAGAAAGGTTTCTCTTTTGCTGGCTGCTGGCAGGAGGAGCCGTCCGCCCTCCACGCTACGAGCAGCAGGCCTGGGGGCCGTGCACCCCCATCCCATCTCCGAGACCCCCTGATCCGCTCCCTTGGACAGACAGACACTCGTCCAGCTGCTCTCCAGCACCTGGGGGGTCCCCCATCCTCCTGCCTCCTTTGCCTGGTGATCCTCATAAATCGGAGTCTTTTCTGCTGCCTAAGCCACGTCCCCTGGCTGCAGCTTAATCCCGGGATTTTGCACCCAGCCGGCAGTGGCAGGAGGAACATTACTCCCTTTGTCTCAGCCGCAGCCATGTTATGAAACCTGTTGCCATGTCTCCCCTCAGCCTCCCCTGTTTCTTCATCCTTTGCTCCCCAGCCCACGTGTTCGAGGCCTCTTATCTGAGTCTTCTCGATAGCGTCTGCATGCCGTCCTCGTGAGCCGTGTCCTCGCGGGGCTGGCCTTGGCACGGCCTTGCTGCCGTGGGGGAAGAGGACGGCTCCTGCGCCGTATGGAGGGGCCCTGACGCTGTGAAGGGGGGGGCCTCCCCCCGAAAAAAACCCCCCCCCCCCCCCCCCCCCGCGCCCCCCCGCCCCCCCGCCGGTCCCCTGCCGCGGAGCTGTGCCCCTTCCTCAGCCCGTGTGTGCGCGGGGAGCGGCTCCGGCCCTGGGGCACTGCTCCTCGCCAGGCTGCATCCCGCGTCGCAGGCGTCTCTCCCGGGGTGCTGGGATCCTTCGGAACTTTCCTCAGTCCTGGGGGGTGATCAAAAATTGATACGCAAGCAAATGAAGCGAACAAGGCCGAGAAGTGTTGTGATGTGCCCAAGGGGCGCGAGGCGGGGTTCACAGGGAAGGCGGCACGGGGATTTTGTGCTTAGTGTGGGGCTCAGGAGACGCAAATTCCCCTCGGTGTCTTTGCTGCCTGTCTCCGACGGCTTCGTCCGCGTGCCCAGGTCACGGTGCTAACGCTTCTCTCCTTGCTCTGTTGCAGACTCTGCCACATTCCCCACCATGGGGGACATGAAGACTCCGGATTTCGATGACCTTCTGGCAGCTTTCGATATCCCCGACATCGACACGAACGAGGCCATCCACTCCGGCCACGAGGAAGCTGACGCCCACATCAAGCAGGTCCCTGGGGAGCCGGGCCCCCCTGACCACGTCCTCCCCCACACGGACATCACCGCTGTCAGCGTGATCGTGAAGAACACCGTCTGCCCCGAGCAGCTCGATGCCCTGGACGGGCGCAGCAAAGATGGGCACGTCATCGGGCCCCGCTTGCTGCAGAATGGCTTCGGGGCCGCCGAGATGCCCAGGTCCCCCACCTCCAGGTCTGTGGAAGCTGTGGCGTCCTCCAACGGGGAGTGTTGGGTGAAGGAGAAAGGCCCCAAACCCCTGGATATCTTCTCCCATTTTAGCCCTGATCCCAATGAAGACAGCGCTGCCAACCTGATTGACAGACCCCGGGAGTGTAAGCCGAAAGAGAAGTCCCTCGCCGTGCCCTCCCTCTCCCCGTCTCCCACCCCGTCGCTGGACTGCAAGGAGCCCATGGGAGAGAGCGCCGAGAACCTGACGCCGGCTTTCCAGCAGGCCTTCGAGACGAGCCAGCCAGGG